AAGTATTTAACTTTGAAGCGTGTGAAGAGTTGGGGAACTGGCCAAGGAACAAGATTTGGATTATTTTTAAGGACTCATTTGTTCAATCTTTTTTGTGAACTTCTGCACTTTTTTGTAAAAACACAATATGGCATGCTTGATAGTCTTATTAGTCCTGTTTTGGTGTCATTTAAAACCTTTTTTGGTAGTAAAAATAGTTAATTTTGAAGCGTGTTAAGCCTTGAATGCTCTCTGTGAGCTATCTTTTCAGTTTTTATTTCATTTTTAGCTTGGATTATGGAGTATTGAAGATAACTATGTAGTCTTTTCCCAACGCTTTTGGACATCTCAGACCAGCTGTCACTGTTGGATATACTACAGTTGATATGCTTATAAATAAAAGACAGACTTGCTTTCTGACCTCTGTTTCTACCACAGCGGCTAATGGATCCAGAATTTCACTCAGTGTTATTTTTCAGCCGTTACAGGAGATTTCAGAACAGGAAAGACTGATTGAACACTGGCTGGCAGCAGGCCAGGATCGGCTACCGTGTGTGTGTGTGTGTGTGTGTGTGTGTGTGTGTGTGTGTGTGTGTGTGTGTGTGTGTGTGTGTGTGTGTGTGTGTGTGTGTGTGTGTGTGTGTGTGTGTGTGTGTGTGTGTGTGTGTGTGTGTGTGTGTGTGTGTGTGTGTGTGTGTGTGTGTGTGTGTGTGTGTGTGTGTGTGTGTGTGTGTGTGTGTGTGTGTGTGTGTGTGTGTGTGTGTGTGTGTGTGTGTGTGTGTGTGTGTGTGTGTGTGTGTGTGTGTGTGTGTGTGTGTGTGTGTGTGTGTGTGTGTGTGTGTGGTCTAGCATTACTATACTTGTGGGGACCTACATCTGTTTACATAGTCACGTGTGGGGACTGGTTTCCCTTATGGGGACAAAATGGAGGTCCCCATGAGGGGAATCATTAATTTTAGGGTGAAGACTTGGTTAGGTTTAGGGTAAGGGTTAGGCATGTGTTGGTTATGGATAAGGTTAGGATAAGTCTCCAGGAAATGCATGTAAGTCAATGTAATGTCCCCTGAAGTGATGTATACATGGTATGTGTGTGTGTGTGTGTGTGTACACGTGTACTTTCTTGCTCCATTTGACATGTCCTTTACATTTAACGGGAGCTTTCACTCAACAGTGAAGCTTTTAGTTCTTTCTTGCTTTTCTTTTTCTTCTTCCTCTTTGTGTTGATCTTACCTTTTTTCTTTTTCTTTTACCATTTTCTCCACTCCAATTTCCACTTCAATTTCCTTTTCTTTGGCGTCGCAGGAAAGGTTGAGAAAAAAAGTAATGACAGGAGATCAGAGTTATTTTCAATACTGCATATTTCAAGCTGCAAGTCACCCCATCGACAAACAAGATTAAAACGTATATTTTATTAATTGAAGGACTTTAAATTTAGAGCTTTGGATCCAAATGAAATCAAAAACTAGATATCATAAAGACTAAAAACGTACAGTACCATTCAAGACTTCAAACGCCCAAAAGTCACTATTTAACAACAATTTAAAATGACAGTTGGGGATTAGATAATGCTGGTTTTTGTTTAAGAAATGCTCGCAGATAATAGTGAAGCATTTGCTAGCATTTCTGAAAAACAAAAACCAAGACACCCGTTTTAATAAGAATTAGGAAAACAATAAATCAGCATTAGTTATGCTGAATTTGAGTTGTTCTCTTTAAACACGTCACAGCTTTCCACTTTTAACTCTGATATACTGCACATATTTTGTATTCACTATTACACACAAAAGCCAATTTATTTTACCTACTTTTCAATAACCCTGATCTGATTCTAAGGGGATATTATTAGCATTGTTACAGACACAATTATTAATTGCTTGACACAAATATCAACATATTAATATTGAATAGATATTGCGGCAGTAGGGAAGCGTGACTTTCATGGAGTTTAATAACTTGAACTTTCTGACTCAGCACCTCAGAGCCTTCTCCATTGGCCCGCCACCTGCCATCTGCTTCTCATTCACCTTTGCAGGAAATCCTCTTCAACCAATCAAATCATAGCTTAATCTGCCAGACTCCTATCGCCACAGCCTAAAGGTTAGGGAAGCAGGAGGCTGACGGTTTAAATCCCTGAGCAGCTGGGAGATCTGGCACTGAGGAGCGGGGATAAAAGATTCTCGCTCTTTTCTAAAGAAAAATTCACTTTTGGAACCCGAGTCTTATTTTTATAGTTCAGAGTTACTTTACTGCTCTTTCTGAAGTTTGGCAGTCCTGAACAATTGAGATAAAAGAGGAATTTAGTGTTGCAAAACTACTTCATAGAAACATAATAATATAACAACATTCACAATTGCATCGTCCAATCATAACATAGTATTTGTGCTACAAGCATCCTTAGATATAATTAGGTTTCTCAATGTTTAAAATATGAGATATCCTGCTCATTTTCAGGTTCATATCAGTTTGTAGTGTCTCTGCTTTAAAGAGTCCTCTCCTGTTGATGTTCAGGTGTATATCAGTATGTAGTGTCTCTGCTTTAAAGAGTCCTCTCCTGCTGATGTTCAGGTGTATATCAGTATGTAGTGTCTCTACTTTAAAGAGTCCTCTCCTGCTGATGTTCAGGTGTATATCAGTATGTAGTGTCTCTACTTTAAAGAGTCCTCTCCTGCTGATGTGCAGGTGTCTATCAGTATGTAGTGTCTCTACTTTAAAGAGTCCTCTCCTGCTGATGTGCAGGTGTCTATCAGTATGTAGTGTCTCTACTTTAAAGAGTCCTCTCCTGCTGATGTTCAGGTGTCTATCAGTATGTAGTGTATCTACTTTAAAGAGTCCTCTCCTGCTGATGTTCAGGTGTCTATCAGTATGTAGTGTCTCTACTTTAAAGAGTCCTCTCCTGCTGATGTTCAGGTGTATATCCGTATGTAGTGTCTCTACTTTAAAGAGTCCTCTCCTGCTGATGTTCAGGTGTATATCAGTATGTATTGTCTCTACTTTAAAGAGTCCTCTCCTGCTGATGTTCAGGTGTATATCAGTATGTAGTGTCTCTACTTTAAAGAGTCCTCTCCTGCTGATGATCAGGTGTATATCAGTATGTAGTGTCTCTACTTTAAAGAGTCCTCTCCTGCTGATGTTCAGGTGTATATCAGTATGTAGTGTCTCTACTTTAAAGAGTCCTCTCCTGCTGATGTTCAGGTGTATATCAGTATGTAGTGTCTCTACTTTAAAGAGTCCTCTCCTGCTGATGTTCAGGTGTATATCAGTATGTAGTGTCTCTACATGTCTCCATGCTTTAATGTTCAGAAAGCTCTTTATTGTTCTCATACTGTCTATGCTGCAGCACTTCTTTTCACCCTCTGTCTGAAACCAGAGCCCAGTCTGCTCTGATTGGTTAGCTGGCCGGCTCTGTTGTGATTGGTCAACCGCTTAGAGATGTCCCACCCCTTAGCCTATCACGTACAATGTGTTGGAGCGCTAACCAATAGAAGGGCATGTGTTACATAGTGATGTCACTATGTTTGGAAGTAAACAAAGGAGTCCAATGGAGGCGTTTCAGAGTGATTGGGAGAGAAACTCTCTCTGGAGGGAACACAAGGATTTTTCTCTTTGAAGACCATTTACATGCACTAAATACCTTTATAACAAACTAGGCATAGTAGGGCCTTCAGATCACAACATACATTGTTAAAAATATTACTTAAATCTTACAATTTAATTATAAATATTCGTTTTTAGGGAATGTAATTTCATCTTCTCCGTTGTGAACTATTAGCCTAATATGCCTACACAGTTTTTAAACGGCTGATTATATAGTGAACAGTTTTCGAATGATTCAAAAGCTGTTTTTGTCATATGCACAGTAGCCACGTCTTATACCTCATTCACACCAACGCAACTCCGGTTCAAGCTCCGTGCTAGAGCTTTTCAGGTTCAGAACCGGTTCTTCGGTTTAGCTCCGGCTCTTTTCACACCGCCCAGAGTCCGACTGGTGCTGCGTCATTGCGTCATCGTTTGCGTCATGACGTAACCGTTTGCGTGCCTGCTTCATAAAGCCAAACCGCGCGGAAACCCCTCACAGCTGACACCGACAACAACAACAATGGCCGATTGTGCTCCAGCTTCCTCTGTACCTCTTCGGAAGACCAGATTCCCAGCAGGTAGCTGGTCTCTTCAGTGGACCACTGCTGCTTGTTAAGTTTTTCCATCGTTGTGTACAAACTGGATAAAACGCGGGCTTCTTGTTGTTGTTCAGGAGTTGATCCCGCCCCTGCCCCCGCCTCGACGTAAGCGTGACGTATGCGGTGCTTTTGCTCTGGCCGGACAATTTTTTGGTCTAAGCGGAGCTAAGAGGCTGCTCCGCTGCGGTGTGAACAGGAAAACCCGGTGCTTTTCAAGCTCCAGCTCCGAACCGGCCCCGAAACACCGTTGGTGTGAATGAGGTATTAGTGAGTCTCAGGCGCTCTTAAGAAATGCAACATACAAGTAACTAAACATAAACACACTTAAAATAGTGCGATAGATATAACAGTGCAAGTACGTTGCAGGAATAACAAAAATATGTATAATATAGAATAAGGTTTAAAAAAATGTAAAATGAAAAGTTATAAAAAAAATTCTTTTTTTTTGTGTTATCAATCTTATAGCCTTTTGGATAAAGGCTTTCGTCACTGTGGTGGTTTCAGTAAAGGTTTGGTCACTGCTGGAAGGATTCATAATAATTGTATAACCATAGATGTCTTTTCTCCACGTTCTGTCAGACTGATTTTTATTCTAAGTTTAATTTTGGATTTGCACATCTTAGCGTAATCAGGATTGTTTTGGCTCCCCGCTCTCCTCCTGTGGTACTTTCCAAGTGTGTGGGACGCTGAACAAAGTAGACCCAGAGTGTTTGTGTATTTCCACATTCAGGGAGGAGGAGGTTTTCCCAGGGAATCCCCTCCTCTCTTCCATCGCTGCTTATAACAACCTCTGTGTCTGTGATCTCCTTTTTAACCTTTCACTCTTTCTCCTCTTCCTCGCTGCAGAGCTTAATCCAAAAGGTGAGTGTTTGGTTTGGACAGAATAGAGCCCCCCCCCTCTCCACTTACACACCCACACACACACTTTATATATAAAAAGGCAAACAAGTCATGTAGATGTGCACATAAACATATATTTTCTGCATTATGGATATTCCATTTCAATATTCTCTTACACACAGAAATGCAAACATAATCAAAACTAAACTGTATGCATTCCAACACACACTCACACACACATGTACACACTACTGTATATACAGGAAGAGACCACTGCCTACTGTTTATGTTCCTGTAACACGATACTTGGCAAGAGTATGTACACACACACACACATGCACACACACAGACACCCACACATGCACTCGTACTGTACACACATACACACACTTCCTCACTGTATAGAGCAAGTAAATATCCATGTATATCCTTTTACAGTATGCTCACATTTCACATACACACATACTGGCATATAGAAACTCATTGAATTGCAGGTTTAAGCGCATCAACACACACATGCACACACACACACACACACACACACGCACACACACACACGCACACACGCACACACACAGTGTTCCTAGTCGTCAGTCAGTGTTTGTTTTAGTCCGTCTGAGTTTGTGTGCTTTGATACAGAATAGGATGTCCTGTAATCTATAGTAGGCTTAGAGGCCCTGCAGTAGTACACACACACACACACACACACACACACACACACACACACACACACACACACACACACACACACACACACACACACACACACACACACACACACACACACACACTCACATTGAACTCTTTTTCTCCAACTCATAACTGCAGATTATATTAATATGCATCCGCCAGATACATTCTTGGGGAAACGCAAACTGCCATGTTTCTGACAGAAAAATGAAAAGAGAGGCGGACTTAAGAACATTAATCATGAAGCATCAGTTCACACACCCCTTAATAATTGGACACATTTCATCAACAAAATCAGTGTTTATTCAACATAAAATTAAACATAAAGCCCAAGGCTCTTCAGATGTGTTTATTCACATAATTATGTGATTATAAATATTATATATATTAGGGGTACCATCTATTACATCTGGTACAAAAAGGCCCTTGGCCAGAGCATTTTTATTTATTTGTTTAATATTGTATTGATTTGGAAACGTAAAATCAAAGTTTGCCACCTTTTATGTTGACCTCAAATGAGTGTACAGCCAATAATCGCAGTTAACTCATCGTGCTGTATTTACCCAGAAAGCGGATTCCTGCCGGCAGTGCTTACATGGACCAGAATGCATTGCGCTCGGACTTTATCTGCTTATTTTTTTAAATCCAAAACTCTGCATAACATCCTCTGCACTCGGATACCTGGATGCCATTTCTGCTGTTGGACACAACGCTTCTTCACTTGGAGGCCAGGAGAAGTCTCTGTGACCTTTTGACCTGTGCTGGACTATGGTGATCTGATCTATATGAATGCACCTGCCCATTACCTGATCAAGTTAGATGCCGCCTATCACAGTGCGCTGAGTGTTAACTCATCACTGTACCCTGTGTGCCAGGGCAGGTCTGCCATCACTGACTGTACGGAGACTCAGCCACTGGTACATGTTCATCTACAAAGCCATGCTGGGTAAACTACCACCTTACATCTGCTCTCTGATATCACAGAGAGTCGCAAGTAGCTATTGCCTGAGATCCCAGGATGTGTTTTTATTACATGTACCAAGTGCTTGGACTGTTTTAGGCACTACAGCTTTTATGTGCGCAGCTCCTCTAGCATGAAACACTCTGCACAGCATTTTGAAAATGAGCATCTTGGTTCCCCTGCATACTTTTAAAGCACAGCTGGATGACATGTGATAGTCCTGGTACCTGTCCTTGTGAATACGTTTGTAAATGGTACCCCTGTCATTATGTTGCATGTGTAGCCAATGTGCGGCAGGTCTCCCGTGAAAGAGATTGTTGATCTCAATGGGATAGAGATGCTCCATTTTAGAATGAAGTTAAATAAAATATACATTATAAAAAAATACAATAAATATATGGATACAAACATGAGGAGTCAAAGTAAGAATGTTCACACAAAAAAGAAAGACATTTGCTCAAACATAAAGAGTCAAAGTAAGATGTCAAAGATAGAAATAAATCATAATGTAAACTTTATTTCAAACGAACCGCCGCTCTATGAAGTTTCTTGAGCGGCATCGCGTGCTCTCTGGCTCTTCAGAGGTAAGAGACTACAAATCAAAGCGTGAAATCCTGTTCTTTCAACCAACGACGTCAGTTTAATGTCAAATGGCGCTGCATGTCACCATCAACACTGGTTGGACATCCACTCGGCAAATCCTAGTTTCGATAAAGATCTTATTATGATAAAACATGTTCATGTTTAATTACACACTGTTGGACAGATGTGTCGGCAGAGAATAACATGTATCCAGGCATCCACACCTGGACGCGGTGCTTCTCAGAGGAACCGTTTAAAGCTGCAGACTGGCTGCATAAGAACATGATTTGTTGGAGGACAGGGCTGCGTGGTGACTGTGTGTATCACAGAGGACACACATACAGAATGAACATATATCGTACACACTAAATCAAATGCACACACACGGCTGACATCACTGCAGCTGTGGTGAGAATCTGATCCTGTTCAGTGGTCCTCTGCTCAAATAAACGCTGTCTGCCACGCACACACACGCACACACACACGCACACACGCAATCGTGATTTGAAGTGTGTTTAACAGTTCCACAAAGCTTCATTTCCCACACAAACAGCAAGCAACTATCAGGGCGGTAGTGAAACGTTATAAAGTACATTTACTAGAGTCATTTAATTAATAAATAGTTTAGACCAGCTTCTAAACTGAGAAACTCTGATTTGATGTTGTCATATAATCATACTTGAACCGGCGTCCCTTCAGTTCCCAAACCGAGTGCCTACAGACTTTAGGTGTATTTGTATGCCAATACTTTTGTACTTTTACTCAAGTCAGATTTGGATGCAGAACTTTTATTTGCAACAGAGTCTTTTTACGACATCCTCTTCGTCATCATGTGGAGCTCTTCCAGTAAATTCAGTAAAGAAAACTGCCTATTCTATATACTTATACATATACTTATTAAGCTTTACTCAAGTAGGAGTTTGAATGCAGGACTTTGGCTTGTCAAGGAATGCTTTTATTTATAATTACTACATTTAAAGTATAAGATGTGAGTACGTCTCCCACCCTTTGTCAGCGGTCACATCTGGGGACACACAATATGTGAAATATTGTTCATTCAGGTACAAAAACTCTTCAAACTGCAATACAGAAGCTTGCAGCTGAGGACAAGTATTGAATGAGGTGAATAATCCGTAAGACAAACACAGAAACCTCAGTGTACTGTAGACATGATGCTTGGTCAGTTACTCACCCTCTGGCTTCACACACACCGACAGTCTGCTCTTTGTCTTGTCCTCCTCTAATCATCAAACCAGACTGAAACTGTGACGCCTGACGTAAGCTCCTGATGCAACCTTTGGTTTTGGCCAAAGCTCCGCAGACGATCCAGCTTTTAAACTCGGCTCCTGTGCACATGACGCGACTCAGGATGTGACTTTAGCAGATACAGGATACTTTTGATTGGCTTGGAAAGTGTAACAGTGTGTGTTTGAGGAAAATGCTTCATGAGAAACAAGAAATGAGTCAATTCAAAATAACTTTACCACAGCGACAGTTTTGCTGTTCGGTAAGCTTTGAACTTCCTGAACCAATGCATGTTTTACGGCCCGTCCACAGGCAGCGTCACGTTGAAGCTTGCCATTAGGCGTGTCTGAAGCTCGACCGACAACCAATCACATGAATCTCCCGCCCCGGACACAAGCACGCGGTTTGATTGGCTAGAGCTTGTACTGGCATACGATTTATTGGCTGACGCTTCCGTCGACGCTTCAAACGTTGAACTTTTATCAACTTTCGAAGCGAGCAGCGGAGGCAAAGCGACGGAAGCACAATGCAGTTCGGCAAAGCGGGACGTCAGCGATGCCGCCGTGTGGACGTACCGTTACTCTCATCTGCCTTACAAGATCTATATATATTTGGTGTTATCCTATTTCTTGTAAGGCAATGCAAGTTTATTTATTCAGCATATCTTAACACAAAGTCAATGAAAGGGGCTGCATTAAGACGTCCGGCAAAATAAATGCAATATAAAATCGCATTTATGTACAAATAGAATATTTAAACCCTAGAATACGGGTAAAAAATTAACTGTGACTTCTTGGTTTTATCTTTAATGTTTTTATTATATAAGTATTTTAACATGTTTTATTTTTATTGTATTGTTCTAATATAAAAAAATATTATTACATTGTTTTATATATATAATACACCTAATTATTTATTTGTACCTGCATTTATTTTATGTTTTTATTCTATAGTAATTTTATTTTTTGTATATTATATTTCTAACATTCGTTTATTTTTGCTAAAATAACAACAACAAAAACCTGACTTGTGTTTTGTTCTCTTCCTAAAAATCTAAAAGAAGCTGTTTTTGCTTTTGCGTTGGTGATCAAGGTGATCAAGGTGATCAAGGTGATCAAGGTTCTGCCTTCTGCCCCTCCTCTATATACTTCCAGTATCCCTCAGGGTCCGTGTTTGGGGACTTTTATACAATACAGCCAAGAAAAAGCAAAGTAAAGCAAATAAAGTGAAAAGCAGAGAGTATAGATATCCCCGCAGATGTTAGTGGTTCCTATCAGCGTCTCTGTTTGCTGCTTCAGAGTCTGCACGTTGAATTACGACTTCCGTTTGTTGTTCTAATTATATTTTCAACATAATACAGATGTGGAGGCCGTCTGCAGATGTGTTGGAAATGATGCTTTTTAATACACACACACACACACACACACACACACACACACACACACACACACACACACACACACACACATAAAGAAAGACACACACACACACAGAGAAAGTCACTCACACACACGCACACACACACACACACACACACACACACAAAGAAAGACACACACACACACACACACACAGAGAAAGACACTCACACACACACACATACACATATACACACACACACACACACACACAAAGAAAGACACACACACAGAGAAAGACACTCTCACACACACACACACACACACACATAAGAACTAACACAAACAGACTCATGCACACATAACGACACACACACAGAGAAAGAAACACACATGAATAACACACTGAAAGACACTCAGAGATAAACCTACACACACAGACACACACATAAAGACACACACACACAGAATAACTAACACAAACACACTCATGCACACATAACGACACACACAGACACACACACACACACACACAACACACACACACACACACACACACACACACACACACACACACACACACACACAGAAACACACACACACACACACACACACAGAAAGAAAGACACACACACACACACACACACACACACAGACAGACACACACACAGAAGAACTAACACAAACACACCCCCACACACATAAAGACACACACACACACACACACTAACTGTACTGCAATAGTCAAATTGCAGGAGGCACAACATTGACTTCATATCTTCGGTTGAAAAAATGTACTGAAATAGAGTAATGTTGTGAAACCATCAGATATCTTAAACCATCCAGTCAAAATAAAACCAATTGGTTCTTTTTTCCAACTCGTGGTTTTCCTCCCGCTCTTTTCTTTCTCCCTGCTTCTCCTCTGTTGCCCTTGGCTTCCCTCTCAGTTCATGTGTTCAGACCAAATTGAATTATCCACATAATCAGGTCGTAATAATTGCACGTCTGGATTGAAAAGGTGCGCAGGTCATTATTAATATCTGAAACAACCTGGAACGCTCCACAGTTACACCGATACTCACATGATGTCTCCCCCAGTCTCTCTCCTCCTCCTCCTCCTCCTCCTCCTCCTCCTCCTCCTCCTCCTCCTCATCCTCCTCCTCCTCCTCTTCCCTCCATCTCTTTTTAACAACCTCCATCACCCCTTCCCCTCGCTCTGTTATTCTAGCTAAGTGTAGATTTCTGCAACTCAGCACTGCTTAAGCTCAGGACAAAGTTATATTTGGCCTCCTGCTCACCTTTTGGTTTTTTTCTTGTTCAAATTCCCAGCTACTTTTTTTTGCAAAACTTCCCGTGCGGCTCGTCCACAGACACATCTCCACACCTGGAGCTGTGCAGTCTCTCGGCCTCTGCATCTGCACTGTTGACACATGTAAACGTGTGGAAGGCGTGTAGCGCAGTGGGTTGTGCGTTGCTGTTGGGATCAGGGGGTCACAGGTTCAAACCCCACTGCAGTCAGCATGTCGTTGTGTCCCTGAGACCCTTCACCCCACATTGCTCCTGTGGGGATTGCTCACAGTATTGAGTATGTAAGTCGCTTTGGATAAAAGCGTCTAACATGTAACATGTAATGTAAACCTGACTGCTGTTTGGAGAGCAAGCCGATAAAAAGCAACGATGTTCAGACCTGTTTGATTTATTAAAGGGAGGTTTTGAGGAAGTGGCGCCACTTAAAGGGGAAGTGGGAGGTGAATTTAAATGAGTTTTTCAGGAGCTAAAGGAAGCGGAAGAAGAATACATTTGTGCAAAATTATCAGATTTATCAGTTTTTATTATTGTAATGTCGTTGTTTTTATATATTTTACAGCATTTCACTTTTTGTTGACCTGAATAATTACTGTAGGGCAAGTTTATTCATTACATTGCATTTAGCTGAGGCTTTTATCCAAAGCGACTTACAATAAGTGCGTTCGACCAGGAAGACACAACCTTGAAGAACACAGAATCATAAAGTACATCAGGTTTCATAGAGCCAAACATTTATGAAGCACATTCCCACAACAAGGCAATTAACACAAGCATTAAAGTCATAGTACAAAAGAAACCACATACAAACACTTAAAAAAACAGTTATTAAAAAGCCAATATATTACCAATCAAACCATCTGCAATAGAATAAGACAGGTGGAAAATACAAGAATACAAAGTGCAGTGTAACACATGAATGGTTACTTGATTTAATCAAAGACAGTGGTACAAAAAAGAAAATTCAGTCTTGATTTAAAACAAGTTTAAACATTTTCTCTGAGTTTGTTCCAGATATATGGAGCTTAAAACGTAATGGGGGTCTCCATGATTGGTTTAGGTAATGCAAACGTGGTTTTTAGTTAAATATCAGTAAACTTTGAGAGGGGACAGCTTCCATAGGGTGGAGAAGATGGAGGAGATGCAACACTAAAAGGAAAGATATTGTTAAATAATCTTTAATTTCCAGTATGTTTCCTTCCCCCAGGAGTTCCCAGGGTTCTTCAGTCCAGGTTCAGTCTCCCTCTGGCGTTGGTGTGTGTCCCTACCTCTCCGGCCAAAACCACCAAGTTTAAGATCACCGTGGATACCAACCAGCCTCCAGTCGATCTCAGCGTCCTCTTCCCAGGTAAAACACACACACACACACACACACACACACACACACACACACACACACACACACACACACACACACACACACACACACACACACACACACACACACACACACACACACACACACCCAACACATTGTTAAAGCGCAGGAAGGCCAAAATGACACGAGCATGATCGGAAAGCTTGGACAGGGAATGAGAGAAATGTGAAGCTGTGCATGTGTGTATACATTCATAGATGCAGTGTAATCAACTGTTATGTATCTGTGTGTGGTTGTGTATTTATACGAGTGTATTTATTTATTTCTGATTCTCTACGTGTGTGTGTGTGTGTGTGTGAGCCCTGGGAATCTCTGCTCTGCCTCTCAGTTATCTGACCATCAGCTACAATCAGCAGCAGCTCTGACGTCCAAACACACACTCGCTGCCCTTTGTGAGCAGAGGGGTTTGTGTAAGCTCACGGTTGTGTGTCTTTGTGAGCAGAGGGGTTTGTGTAAGCTCACGTTTGTGTGTCTTTGTGAGCAGTGTGACTGTATCTCCTGCTCCTTTTGTTGGCGTCTTGCATCACGATACGCCGTCCTATCTGTCTCATCGCGCTGCCGTCTGTCTTTGTCTCCCTCGCAGAGTTTTCAACAAAATCTGAAGATAAGGAGGGGAATAGTTTGGCTTTCCAGTTCCTGGCGGGAGCCAATGTGACCGTGGTAGCTTCAAAGACCTCCCGTGAGTCTCACAGCAGTACCACATACTCAACGGGATTCTCACCCGCTTACCTCCTTTAAAGGTCCCCTATTATGTGTTTCTCATCAATATATCACAGGTCTCAGATATATACAGAGCCTGTCTCTGATTGGCTGTAACACCAAACAGATCATTGCAGCATTACCCATAATCCCCTCTGTTTCAGCCCTGTTTCCAAAGTGCTGATTCTCTGTCTGTTACTTTAGATGAAAATAAGGAGCCCCTCCCCACGCCCCTCTGAGAGACATTTGGTTACAAAGAACTCAATGGTGCTCTAGGAGGAGATTCAGGTGATAAGGGGGGGGGGGGGGTTACCTTGGTTGCTGATTGGCTAATGGCTACACAAGACAAAACATCGTGATGACATCACAAAGTGGCCAAAATCTGATCAGCTCATTTTCAGACAGGTTTTTATAGAAATGGATCAAAAAGAGAGAGAATCTTTGTTCCTGAAACTTTCAGAGTCTCTTTCCACAGAGGGGACACATGTTGATGTAGAAGAGACATGAAGAAGAGGGGACACATGTTGATGTAGAAGAGACATGAAGAAGAGGGGACACATGTTGATGTAGAAGAGACATGAAGAAGAGGGGACACATGTTGATGTAGAAGAGACATGGAGAAGAGGGGACACATGTTGATGTAGAAGAGACATGAAGAAGAGGGGACACATGTTGATGTAGAAGAGACATGAAGAAGAGGGGACACATGTTGATGTAGAAGAGACATGGAGAAGAGGGGACACAGGTTGATGTGGAAGAGACATGAGAAGAGGGGACACATGTTGATGTAGAAGATACATAGAGAAGAGGGGACACATGTTAATGTAGAAGAGACATGAAGAAGAGGGGACACATGTTGATGTAGAAGAGACATGAAGAAGAGGGGACACATGTTGATGTAGAAGAGACATGAAGAAGAGGGGACACATGTTGATGTAGAAGATACATGAAGAAGAGGGGACACATGTTGATGTAGAAGAGACATGGAGAAGAGGGGACACATGTTGATGTAGAAGAGACATGAAGAAGAGGGGACACATGTTGATGTAGAAGAGACATGGAGAAGAGGGGACACAGGTTGATGTGGAAGAGACATGAAGAAGAGGGGACACATGTTGATGTAGAAGATACATAGAGAAGAGGGGACACATGTTAATGTAGAAGAGACATGAAGAAGAGGGGACACATGTTGATGTAGAAGAGACATGAAGAAGAGGGGACACATGTTGATGTAGAAGAGACATGAAGAAGAGGGGACACATGTTGATGTAGAAGATACATGAAGAAGAGGGGACACATGTTGATGTAGAAGAGACATGGAGAAGAGGGGACACATGTTGATGTAGAAGAGACATGAAGAAGAGGGGACACATGTTGATGTAGAAGAGACATGAAGAAGAGGGGACACATGTTGATGTAGAAGAGACATGAAGAAGAGGGGACACATGTTGATGTAGAAGAGACGTGAAGAAGAGGGGACACATGTTGATGTAGAAGAGACATGAAGAAGAGGGGACACATGTTGATGTAGAAGAGACATGAAGAAGAGGGGACAAATGTTGATGTAGAAGAGACATTGATGTAAGAAGAGGGGACACATGTTGATGTAGAAGAGACATGAAGAAGAGGGGACACATGTTGATGTAGAAGAGACATGAAGAAGAGGGGACACATGTTGATGTAGAAGAGACATGAAGAAGAGGGGACACATGTTGATGTAGAAGAGACATGAAGAAGAGGGGACACATGTTGATGTAGAAGAGACATGAAGAAGAGGGGACACATGTTGATGTAGAAGAGACATGAAGAAGAGGGGACACATGTTGATGTAGAAGAGACATGAAGAAGAGCAGACACATGTTGATGTAGAAGAGACATGGAGAAGAGGGGACACATGTTGATGTAGAAGAGACATGGAGAAGAGGGGACACATGTTGATGTAGAAGAGACATGAAGAAAAGGGGACACATGTTGATGTAGAAGAGACATGAAGAAGAGGGGACACATGGTGATGTAGAAGAGACATGAAGAAAAGGGGACACATGTTGATGTAGAAGAGACATGAAGAAGAGGGGACACATGTTGATGTAGAAGAGACATGAAGAAGAGAGGACACATGTTGATGTAGAAGAGACGTGAAGAAGAGGGGACACATGTTGATGTAGAAGAGACATGAAGAAGAGGGGACACGTGTTGATGTAGAAGAGACATGAAGAAGAGGGGACACGTGTTGATGTAGAAGAGACATGAAGAAAAGGGAACACATGTTGATGTAGAAGAGACATGAAGAAGAGGGGACACATGTTGATGTAGAAGAGACATGGAGAAGAGGGGACACATGTTGATGTAGAAGAGACATGAAAAAGAGGGGACACGTGTTGATGAAGAAGAGACATGAAGAAGAGGGGACACGTGTTGATGTAGAAGAGACATGAAGAAAAGGGAACACATGTTGATGTAGAAGAGACATGAAGAAGAGGGGACACATGTTGATGTAGAAGAGACATGAAAAAGAGGGGACACGTGTTGATGAAGAAGAGACATGAAGAAGAGGGGACACGTGTTGATGTAGAAGAGACATGAAGAAAAGGGAACACATGTTGATGTAGAAGAGACATGAAGAAGAGGGGACACATGTTGATGTAGAAGAGACATGGAGAAGAGGGGACACATGTTGATGTAGAAGAGACATGGAGAAGAGGGGACACATGTTGATGTAGAAGAGACATGGAGAAGAGGGGACACATGTTGATGTAGAAGAGACATGAAGAAGAGGGGACACATGTTGATGTAGAGGAGACATGAAGAAGAGGGGACACATGTTGATGTAGAAGAGACATGAAGAAGAGGGGACACATGTTGATGTAGAAGAGACATGAAGAAGAGGGGACACATGTTGATGTAGAAGAGACATGAAGAAGAGGGGACACATGTTGATGTAGGAGAGACATGGAGAAGAGGGGACACATGTTGATGTAGAAGAGATATGAAGAAGAGGGGACACATGTTGATGTAGAGGAGACATGAAGAAGAGGGGACACATGTTGATGTAGAAGAGACATGAAGAAGAGAGGACACATGTTGATGTAGAAGAGACGTGAAGAAGAGGGGACACATGTTGATGTAGAAGAGACATGAAGAAGAGGGGACACATGTTGATGTAGAAGAGACATGAAAAAGAGGGGACACGTGTTGATGAAGAAGAGACATGAAGAAGAGGGGACACGTGTTGATGTAGAAGAGACATGAAGAAAAGGGGACACATGTTGATGAAGAAGAGACATGAAGAAGAGGGGACACATGTTGATGTAGAAGAGACATGAAGAAGAGGGGACACATGTTGATGTAGAAGAGATATGAAGAAGAGGGGACACATGTTGATGTAGGAGAGACATGGAGAAGAGGGGACACATGTTGATGTAGAAGAGACATGAAGAAGAGGGGACACATGTTGATGTAGAGGAGACATGAAGAAGAGGGGACACATGTTGATGTAGGAGAGACATGGAGAAGAGGGGACACATGTTGATGTAGAAGAGATATGAAGAAGAGGGGACACATGTTGATGTAGAAGAGACGTGAAAAAGAGGGGACACATGTTGATGAAGAAGAGATATGAAGAAGAGGGGACACGTGTTGATGTAGGAGAGACATGAAGAAGAGGGGACACGTGTTGATGAAGAAGAGACATGAAGAAGAGGGGACACGTGTTGATGTAGGAGAGACATGAAGAAGAGGGGACACGTGTTGATGTAGAAGAGACATGAAGAAGAGGGGACACATGTTGATGTAGAAGAGATATGAAGAAGAGGGGACACATGTTGATGTAGGAGAGACATGAAGAAGAGGGGACACATGTTGATGTAGAAGAGATATGAAGAAGAGGGGACACATGTTGATGTAGGAGAGACATGAAGAAGAGGGGACACATGTTGATGTAGGAGAGACATGGAGAAGAGGGGACACATGTTGATGTAGAAGAGACATGAAGAAGAGGGGACACATGTTGATGTAGAAGAGACATGAAGAAGAGGGGACACATGTTGATGTAGAAGAGACATGAAGAAGAGGGGACACATGTTGATGTAGAAGAGACATGAAGAAGAGGGGACACATGTTGATGTAGAAGAGACATGAAGAAGAGGGGACACATGTTGATGTAGAAGAGACATGAAGAAGAGGGGACACATGTTGATGTAGAAGAGACATGGAGAAGAGGGGACACATGTTGATGTAGAAGAGACATGGAGAAGAGGGGACACATGTTGATGTAGAAGAGACATGAAGAAAAGGGGACACATGTTGATGTAGAAGAGACATGAGGAAGAGGGGACACATGTTGATGTAGAAGAGACATGGAGAAGAGGGGACACATGTTGATGTAGAAGAGACATGAAGAAAAGGGGACACATGTTGATGTAGAAGAGACATGAAGAAGAGGGGACACATGGTGATGTAGAAGAGATATGAAGAAAAGGGGACACATGTTGATGTAGAAGAGACATGAAGAAGAGGGGACACATGTTGATGTAGAAGAGACATGAAGAAGAGAGGACACATGTTGATGTAGAAGAGACGTGAAGAAGAGGGGACACATGTTGATGTAGAAGAGACATGAAGAAGAGGGGACACGTGTTGATGTAGAAGAGACATGAAGAAGAGGGGACACATGTTGATGTAGAAGAGACATGAAGAAGAGGGGACACATGTTGATGCAGAAGAGACGTGAAGAAGAGGGGACACATGTTGATGTAGAAGAGACATGGAGAAGAGGGGACACATGTTGATGGAGAAGAGACATGAAGAAGAGGGGACACGTGTTGATGTAGAAGAGACATGAAAAAGAGGGGACACGTGTTGATGAAGAAGAGACATGAAGAAGAGGGGACACGTGTTGATGTAGAAGAGACATGAAGAAAAGGGAACACATGTTGATGTAGAAGAGACATGAAGAAGAGGGGACACATGTTGATGTAGAAGAGACATGGAGAAGAGGGGACACATGTTGATGTAGAAGAGACATGGAGAAGAGGGGACACATGTTGATGTAGAAGAGACATGGAGAAGAGGGGACACATGTTGATGTAGAAGAGACATGAAGAAGAGGGGACACATGTTGATGTAGAGGAGACATGAAGAAGAGGGGACACATGTTGATTTAGAAGAGACATGAAGAAGAGGGGACACATGTTGATGTAGAAGAGACATGAAGAAGAGGGGACACATGTTGATGTAGAAGAGACATGAAGAAGAGGGGACACATGTTGATGTAGGAGAGACATGGAGAAGAGGGGACACATGTTGATGTAGAAGAGATATGAAGAAGAGGGGACACATGTTGATGTAGAGGAGACATGAAGAAGAGGGGACACATGTTGATGTAGAAGAGACATGAAGAAGAGAGGACACATGTTGATGTAGAAGAGACGTGAAGAAGAGGGGACACATGTTGATGTAGAAGAGACATGAAGAAGAGGGGACACATGTTGATGTAGAAGAGACATGAAAAAGAGGGGACACATGTTGATGAAGAAGAGACATGAAGAAGAGGGGACACGTGTTGATGTAGGAGAGACATGAAGAAGAGGGGACACATGTTGATGTAGAAGAGACATGAAGAAAAGGGGACACATGTTGATGAAGAAGAGACATGAAGAAGAGGGGACACATGTTGATGTAGAAGAGACATGAAGAAGAGGGGACACATGTTGATGTAGAAGAGATATGAAGAAGAGGGGACACATGTTGATGTAGGAGAGACATGGAGAAGAGGGGACACATGTTGATGTAGAAGAGACATGAAGAAGAGGGGACACATGTTGATGTAGAGGAGACATGAAGAAGAGGGGACACATGTTGATGTAGGAGAGACATGGAGAAGAGGGGACACATGTTGATGTAGAAGAGATATGAAGAAGAGGGGACACATGTTGATGTAGAAGAGACGTGAAGAAGAGGGGACACATGTTGATGTAGAAGAGACATGAAGAAGAGGGGACACATGTTGATGTAGAAGAGACATGAAAAAGAGGGGACACATGTTGATGAAGAAGAGACATGAAGAAGAGGGGACACGTGTTGATGTAGGAGAGACATGAAGAAGAGGGGACACGTGTTGATGTAGAAGAGACATGAAGAAAAGGGGACACATGTTGATGAAGAAGAGACATGAAGAAGAGGGGACACATGTTGATGTAGAAGAGACATGAAGAAGAGGGGACACATGTTGATGTAGAAGAGATATGAAGAAGAGGGGACACATGTTGATGTAGGAGAGACATGAAGAAGAGGGGACACATGTTGATGTAGGAGAGACATGGAGAAGAGGGGACACATGTTGATGTAGAAGAGATATGAAGAAGAGGGGACACATGTTGATGTAGAGGAGACATGAAGAAGAGGGGACACATGTTGATGTAGAAGAGACATGAAGAAGAGGGGACACATGTTGATGTAGAAGAGACATGAAGAGAGAGAGGACACATGTTGATGTAGAAGAGACATGAAGAAGAGGGGACACATGTTGATGTAGAAGAGACGTGAAGAAGAGGGGACACATGTTGATGTAGAAGAGACATGAAGAAGAGGGGACACATGTTGATGTAGAAGAGACATGAAAAAGAGGGGACACATGTTGATGAAGAAGAGACATGAAGAAGAGGGGACACATGTTGATGAAGAAGAGACATGAAGAAGAGGGGACACATGTTGATGTAGAAGAGACACGAAGAAGTGGATTTTGCATAATAGGTGACCTTTAAACCATGTGACTAGTAATTTAGTCAGGTATATCAGAATCAGAATTCTCTTATAAGTCCAGCAGCCGGTACTTCTTACAGCGTTACAGTGAAAGTGAAATGACAGATAAAAGGCAAGCAATACTAAAGTAGCTAACATGTTAAATATATAGAAAAATCACATATTATTACAAAACAATAATAAAGAACTCATCCATGGCTAAAAAATGAGTAGCAGCGTTTAAATAGCTAATAGCTAAGCTAGCTTGATATATTATAAAAATGATGTTTTGCACGTACCACTGACTATTGTTATTGCACTGTAGGATTATCAAAATAAGTGTATATAATGCACGTTACAGGTGTATTGCAAGATCTCAACCGTCTGTATGTGTGAGGGTCTACCAGGTTTGAATTCTACATCAGAGAGTCCTGATATCGTCTGAGTGACACGCTGAGATGGACTCCAATGATATCTATCAACATCTTTTGGTTACACAGATATCCTTTGCTTCAATTCTAATTATTATAACCCATTTAAACATCTCGGTACCTTTTTTAGTTTTTTCAGCCTTTTAACACTAGAACTGCCAACAGGTCAATTTTACCCGCAGCTGTTTTTTGATTGTATGTAACTTTTTTTTCAATCAAATAGCAACGCCTTTTGTCTACTGTGGTTCCTTATAGATAGAGAGATAGAGAGAGAGAGATAGAGAGAGAGAGAGAGAGAGAGAGAGAGAGATATAGAGAGAGAGAGTTATAGATAGATAGAGAGAGAGAGAGAGAGAGAGAGAGAGATATAGTTATAGATAGATCGATAGATAAATAGTTATAGATCGATAGATCGTTATAGATAGAGAGAGAGATGGAGAGATTTGTACCTAAACAAAACACAAGTCTAACACCAAGCGTTTCAATCAGCACTGGTAGCGATATGTTATACTTCATGCTATCTGCACAGACTATATCCTATGAAAAGCTAATTCTATTGGTATGAGTTCCATCCCTGTGCGATCAAAACTCACTGTTCTGTATGATCAATAAAAGAACATTGTACCTTGAAAATCAATAGCGGGTACATTTGACCCGTTGGCGGTTTTAGGTATCCAGCGACCTCTGGCGGTTCTAGTGTTAATTGAGATGCTATCTTTGACTTTTCTCTCTACTTCCAAAGTCACATCAAAGTGCTTTTCATGTTCATTGATAGGTCTAATTGTCATGTTCACATACCCTGCCTGAATGTGTGTGTCTGTGTGTTTGTCAGAGCGTTACCGTATTCAGAGCGACCGTTTTGAGGACACGTGGTTGGTGGTGAATGAGCTGGTGCAGAGATTCGATCAGCATTTCTCCACACTGGGAGTGCAAGACTTCAAGAAGAGCTTCAGTGGACCGCTCCCCCTGCAGGAGTACTTCCTGTCTGTAGACCACCACTTCCAGGTACAAGAGTTCAAACAGAAATCAGGTCCTATGTCCGTTCCGAACCCCTTTTCCTTAACCTCAGTCAAATACATTGATGTGGGGTTAAGGATTTAAAGGGAAATGTTGATTCATTTCACAGTAATTTGCCTTTTGGTTTAACATATAAGCAATTTAGAAAGTTACAACAAAGGATGCAAAACGATTAACAAGCACTGTGGCTTACGTGATCTGCGTTTGTCAATCATGATACTTTGTTTCCGTGGGACAGAATTATCTCTTTACATTTTTTGAAGGATTTTCCATCTTATCCTCTGCTAAAAAGAGATAATTAAGGATCCATTTAAGTCCTTTCCTGTCATCTATTCAAACAGCTCGTATCATGGCTGCTACTTATTCCAGGTCACTCCGTTAGAAACTTTCCTGAGAGAAAAAGACACATTGGTCTCAACTAATGGCTAAATGTGTGTGTGTGTGTGTGTGTGTGTGTGTGTGTGTGTGTGTGTGTGTGTGTGTGTGTGTGTGTGTGTGTGTGTTAGCTGCGTGTCAGTGCTCAGCAGTACCAGGATCTGCTGTCTGAGCGGGCCGTCCAGTTCAGAGCCATCCAGCGCCGCCTGCTGACCCGATTCAAAGACAAGACCCCGGCCCCCCTCCAGAACCTGGACACACTGCTGGACGCCACATACAGCCAGGTCAGACACACGCACACACACACACACACACGCACACACACGCACACACACCACACACACACACACACACACACACACACACACACTTCATTCGGTTGTGTCACTCCTGCACTGCTGATATGGATATCGTTCCTTCAAAAAATCTCTCTAAACTCACTTATTCACTTTCAAACGTTCAACCATTTTACTCCGCACTTGGACTAGGTCTACTGTCTATGTTTTCCTTTGAACTGTTTCTGTTCTGATTTTGTGTAAAGCGTCTTTGAGCATTAGTGCTGTGATGAAAACATTATATATCTTATCTTATTTCTCACTACGGCTGTTTCTGCTCACCCTACGGTATCAGCAGACTTGTTTCTAGTGGAAGAAAAGCTTCTCAATGATAAACACATGGAATTCCCCATAAAACCAAATGTGTTAAATACAAGGTGTTGGTATTTAGAAGCTTTCATGATGCAGCCACAGAATAAAAAAGGAGAAAGTTCTTGTGAAAAAAGTACCCTAGAGATAGCTTCACTCACCCGCTTTCTTATGCTGTCTTTCATACACACACACACACACACACACACACACACACACACACACACACACACACACACACACACACACACACACACACAGCAATGATGTGTCAGTGCAGATTTACAGTGTGAGAGTTGCATTCTGCTGATTTATTGGACTTCCTCTCTTCAGGTGATTAGCTGTGAGCTCACACCCATTCACACACATGCAAGCAGTCACATGACTGTGAACGGACACAATCTGTTACACACACTTGTACCTGCACGCTCATGTGTATTAATGTGTGTGTGTGTGTGTGTGTGTGTGTGTGTGTGTGTGTGTGTGTGTGTGTGTGTGTGTGTGTGTGTGTGTGTGTGTGTGTGTGTGTGTGTGTGTGTGTGTGTGTGTGTGTGTGTGTGTGTGTGTGTGTGTGTGTGTGTGTGTGTGTGTGTGTGTGTGTGTGTGTGTGTGTGTGTGTGTGTGTGTGTGTGTGTGTGCTGTAGCTGAGGTCAGTGTAAAGCTGATTTTGAAACAAAGCAGCCGTTTAGCTTTTGTCTCGCTCTTTGTTTAAGTTTGACGTACTGTAGGGTGGAGCTGCAGTGTGTGTGTGTGTGTGTGTGTGTGTGTGTGTGTGTGTGTGTGTGTGTGTGTGTGTGTGTGTGTGTGTGTGTGTGTGTGTGTGTGTGTGTGTGTGTGTGTGTGTGTGTGTGTGTGTGTGTGTGTGTGTGTGTGTGTGTGTGTGTGTGTGTGTGTGTGTGTGTGTGTGTGTGTGTGTGTGTGTGTGTGTGTGTGTGTGTGTGTGTGTGTGTGTGTGTGTGTGTCAAAGTGATGGTTCCTTGCCCCTGCTGTTTACTCTGCAGCCTGACTTGGCGGTCATCAGCCCCACCGTCCATTAGCTTCTCGTTAGCGTAGCGAGGCTGCGTGACTTCATCTGCTCATTAGCCGGTGAGGCTGTCAGTGCGTCAGCATTTGGCTCTCTGTGATCTCACACACACTCTCTCTTCTCTAACAATACACTAATTTAACACACAGTTACTCCCGAAGTTCAATGGGAGGAAATGAATGAGCTTGTTGAAGTTTCTAATGCCGTTGTAATTCAAATAAACAGCGCTCACCTCAGGCTGGCTACAGATGCAAGTCAGGGAGTCAGTTCTTCATTGAAATGTTAATATTCTCACTTTGTATATAATCAGCAGCATTTACTGTAATCATACGGTATCAGCAATAATTTATTTCCTTACAAATATATCAATATTGTTTGAACATTAACATTAATAATTAAGTATCCATTAAAACATTTGTAAACTCCCAAGCTGACCCCTCATTTCCTCCAGATACATAAGCACATACACAACAGCGTTTTACATTGAGTAAGTTAATACACGTATTTAAAGATAATTGGTCCATTATGTGAAAGGTCATTTTAACATAATGAAATTATTCCTTTGCAATATGTAAAGAATTTCTTTGGGGCTCTATTCTGCTGATGTTCAGGTGTATATCAGTATGTAGTGTATGTACTTTAAAGAGTCCTCTCCTGCTGATGTTCAGGTGTATATCAGTATGTAGAGTCTCTACTTTAAAGAGTCCTCTCCTGCTGATGTTCAGGTGTATATCAGTATGTAGTGCCTCTACTTTAAAGAGTCCTCTCCTGCGGATGTTCAGGTGTATATCAGTATGTAGTGTCTCTACTTTAAAGAGTCCTCTCCTGCTGATGTTCAGGTGTATATCAGTATGTAGTGCCTCTACTTTAAAGAGTCCTCTCCTGCTGATGTTCAGGTGTATATCAGTATGTAGTGTATGTACTTTAAAGAGTCCTCTCCTGCTGATGTTCAGGTGTATATCAGTATGTAGAGTCTCTACTTTAAAGAGTCCTCTCCTGCTGATGTTCAGGTGTATATCAGTATGTAGTGCCTCTACTTTAAAGAGTCCTCTCCTGCGGATGTTCAGGTGTATATCAGTATGTAGTGTCTCTACTTTAAAGAGTCCTCTCCTGCTGATGTTCAGGTGTATATCAGTATGTAGTGTCTCTACTTTAAAGAGTCCTCTCCTGCTGATGTTCAGGTGTATATCAGTATGTAGTGTCTCTACTTTAAAGAGTCCTCTCCTGCTGATGTTCTGGTGTATATCAGTATGTAGTGCCTCTACTTTAAAGAGTCCTCTCCTGCGGATGTTCAGGTGTAATATCAGTATGTAGTGCCTCTACTTTAAAGAGTCCTCTCCTGCTGATGTTCAGGTGTATATCAGTATGTAGTGTCTCTACTTTAAAGAGTCCTCTCCTGCTGATGTTCAGGTGTATATCAGTATGTATTGTCTCTACTTTAAAGAGTCCTCTCCTGCTGATGTTCAGGTGTATATCAGTATGTATTGTCTCTACTTTAAAGAGTCCTCTCCTGCTGATGTTCAGGTGTATATCAGTATGTAGTGTCTCTACTTTAAAGAGTCCTCTCCTGCTGATGTTCAGGTGTATATCAGTATGTAGTGTCTCTACTTTAAATAGTCCTCTCCTGCTGATGTTCAGGTGTATATCAGTATGTAGTGTCTCTACTTTAAAGAGTCCTCTCCTGCTGATGTTCAGGTGTATATCAGTATGTAGTGTCTCTACTTTAAAAGAGTCCTCTCCTGCTGATGTTCAGGTGTATATCAGTATGTAGTGTATGTACTTTAAAGAGTCCTCTCCTGCTGATGTTCAGGTGTATATCAGTATGTAGAGTCTCTACTTTAAAGAGTCCTCTCCTGCTGATGTTCAGGTGTATATCAGTATGTAGTGCCTCTACTTTAAAGAGTCCTCTCCTGCGGATGTTCAGGTGTATATCAGTATGTAGTGTCTCTACTTTAAAGAGTCCTCTCCTGCTGATGTTCAGGTGTATATCAGTATGTAGTGTCTCTACTTTAAAGAGTCCTCTCCTGCTGATGTTCTGGTGTATATCAGTATGTAGTGCCTCTACTTTAAAGAGTCCTCTCCTGCGGATGTTCAGGTGTATATCAGTATGTAGTGCCTCTACTTTAAAGAGTCCTCTCCTGCTGATGTTCAGGTGTATATCAGTATGTAGTGTCTCTACTTTAAACAGTCCTCTCCTGCTGATGTTCAGGTGTATATCAGTATGTAGTGTCTCCACTTTAAAGAGTCCTCTCCTGCTGATGTTCAGGTGCATATCAGTATGTAGTGTCTCTACTTTAAAGAGTCCTCTCCTGCTGATGTTCATCTGTATATCAGTATGTAGTGTCTCTACTTTAAAGAGTCCTCTCCTGCTGATGTTCAGGTGTATATCAGTATGTTGTGTCTCTACTTTAAAGAGTCCTCTCCTGCTGATGTTCAGGTGTATATCAGTATGTATTGTCTCTACTTTAAAGAGTCCTCTCCTGCTGATGTTCAGGTGTATATCAGTATGTAGTGTCTCTACTTTAAAGAGTCCTCTCCTGCTGATGTTCAGGTGTATATCAGTATGTAGTGTCTCTACTTTAAATAGTCCTCTCCTGCTGATGTTCAGGTGTATATCAGTATGTAGTGTCTCTACTTTAAAGAGTCATCTGCTGCTGATGTTCAGGTGTATATCAGTATGTAGTGTCTCTACTTTAAAGAGTCCTCTCCTGCTGATGTTCAGGTGTATATCAGTATGTAGTGTCTCTACTTTAAAGAGTCCTCTCCTGCTGATGTTCAGGTGTATATCAGTATGTAGTGTCTCTACTTTAAAGAGTCCTCTGCTGCTGATGTTCAGGTGTATATCAGTATGTAGAGTCTCTACTTTAAAGAGTCCTCTCCTGCTGATGTTCAGGTGTATATCAGTATGTAGTGCCTCTACTTTAAAGAGTCCTCTCCTGCGGATGTTCAGGTGTATATCAGTATGTAGTGTCTCTACTTTAAAGAGTCCTCTCCTGCTGATGTTCAGGTGTATATCAGTATGTAGTGTCTCTACTTTAAAGAGTCCTCTCCTGCTGATGTTCTGGTGTATATCAGTATGTAGTGCCTCTACTTTAAAGAGTCCTCTTCTGCGGATGTTCAGGTGTATATCAGTATGTAGTGCCTCTACTTTAAAGAGTCCTCTCCTGCTGATGTTCAGGTGTATATCAGTATGTAGTGTATGTACTTTAAAGAGTCCTCTCCTGCTGATGTTCAGGTGTATATCAGTATGTAGAGTCTCTACTTTAAAGAGTCCTCTCCTGCTGATGTTCAGGTGTATATCAGTATGTAGTGCCTCTACTTTAAAGAGTCCTCTCCTGCGGATGTTCAGGTGTATATCAGTATGTAGTGTCTCTACTTTAAAGAGTCCTCTCCTGCTGATGTTCAGGTGTATATCAGTATGTAGTGTCTCTACTTTAAAGAGTCCTCTCCTGCTGATGTTCTGGTGTATATCAGTATGTAGTGCCTCTACTTTAAAGAGTCCTCTCCTGCGGATGTTCAGGTGTATATCAGTATGTAGTGCCTCTACTTTAAAGAGTCCTCTCCTGCTGATGTTCAGGTGTATATCAGTATGTAGTGTCTCTACTTTAAAGAGTCC